CATGGCTAGGACCTCCAGTACTATGTTGAATAACAGTGGGGAGAGTGGGCATCCCTGTCTTGTTCCCGATCTTAGAGGAAAGGCTTTCAGCTTCTTGCTGTTACGTATAATGTTGGCTGTGGGTTTATCATATATGGCCTTTATTATGTTGAGGTACTTTCCCTCTACACCCATTTTGTTGAGAGTTTTTATCATGAATGGATGTTGAATTTTGTCGAATGCTTTTTCAGCATCTGTGGGGATGATCATGTGTTTTTTGTTCTTCTTTTTGTTGATGTGGTGGATGATGTTGATGGATTTTCGAATGTTGTTCCGTCCTTGCATCCCTGAGATGAATCCCACTTGATCATGGTGTATGATCCTTTTGATGTATTTTTGAATTTGGTTTGCTAATGTTTTGTTGAGTATTTTACCATCTATGTTCATCAGGGATATTGGTCTGTAATTTTCTTTTTTGGTGGGGTCTTTGCCTGGTTTTGGTATTAGGGTAATGCTGGTTTCATAGAATGAGTTTGGGAGCATTCCCTAGTCTTCTATTTTTTGGAAAACTTTGAGTAGAATGGGTATTATGTCTTCTCTCTATGTCAGATAAAATTATGCGGTAAATCCATGTGGCCCGAGAGTTTTGCTCTTGGGTAGTTTTTTGATTACCGCTTCAATTTTTGTTGCTGGTAATTGGTCTGTTTAGATTTCCTGTTTCCTCCTTGGTTAGTCTTGGAAGGTTGTATTTTTCTAGGAAAGTATCCTTTTCTTCTAGGTTTTCCAGCTTGTTAGCATATAGGCTTTCATAGTATTCTCTAATAATTCTTTGTATTTCTGTGGTGTCCGTCTTGATTTTTCCTTTCTCATTTCTGATTCTGTTGGTGTGTGTTCATCCTCTTTTTCTCTTAATAAGTCTGTCTAGGGGCTTATCTATCTTCTTTATTTTATCAAAGAACCTGCTCTTGGTTTCATTGATATTTTCTATCGTTTTATTCTTCTCAATTTTATTTATTTCTTCTCTGATCTTTATTATGTCCCTCCTTCTGCTGACTTTAGGCCTCATTTGCTCTTCTTTTTCCGATTTTGATAATTGTGACTTTAGACTATTCATTTGGGATTTTTCTTTCTTTAAACATGCCTGGATTGCAATCTACTTTCCTCTTAGAACTGCTTTTGCTGTGTTCCACAGAATTTGGGGCTTTGTGTTGTTGTTGTCATTTGTCTCCATATATTGCTTGATCTGTATTTTGATTATTTAAGAGCATGTTATTCAGCCTCCATATGTTCGTGAGCCTTTTCGCTTTCTTTGTACAATTTATTTCTAGTTTTACCCCTTTGTGGTCCAAGAAGTTCATTGGTAGAATTTCTATCTTTTTGAATTTACTGAGGTTCTTTTTGTGGCCTATTATGTGGTCTATTCTGGAGAATGTTCCATGTGCACTTGAGAGAATGTGTATTCTGCTGCTTTTGGGTATAGAGTTCTGTAGAAGTCTGTTAGGTCCATCTGTTCTAGTGTGCTGTTCAGTGCCTCTGTGTCCTTACTTATTTTCTGTCTGGGGGATCTCTCCTTTGGAGTGAGTGGTGTGTTGAAGTCTCCGAGAAGGAATGCATTGCATTCTATTTCCTCTTTTAATTATGTTAGTATTTCTTTCACATACGTTGGTGCTTCTGTATTGGTTGCATATATGTTCATAATGGTTATATCCTGTTGTTGGACTGACCTCTTTATCATTATGTAATGTCCTTCTTTATCTCTTGTTATTTTCTTTGTTTTGAAGTCTATATTGTCTGATACCAGTACTGCTACACCTTCTTTTTTCTCTGTATTGTTTGCAAGAAATATCTTTTTCCATCCCTTGACTTTTAGTCTGTGTACGTGTTTTGTTTTGAGGTGAGTCTCTTGTAAGCAGCATATAGATGGGTCTTGCTTTTTTATCCATTCTATCACTCTGTGTCTTTTGATAGGTACATACAGTCCATTTACATTTAGGGTGATTATTGAAAGATATGTACTCATTTCCATTGCAGGCTTTAGGTTCATGGTTACCAAAGGTTGAAGGTTAGCTTCTTTACTATCTAACTGTCTACCTTAACTTTTGCTTGTCTGGGAATTGTTTAATTCCTCCTTCATATATACATGATAATCGTGCTGGATACAGTATCCTTGGTTCAAGACCCTTCTGTTTCATTGCATTAACTATATCATGCCATTCTCTTCTGGCCTATAAGGTTTCTGTTGAGAAGTCTGATGACAGCCTGATGGGTTTTCCTTTGTAGGTAACCTTTTTTCTCTCTCTGGCTGCCTTTAATACTCTGTCCTTGTCCTTGATCTTTGCCATTTTAATCATTATGTGTCTTGGTGTTGTCCTCCTTGGGTCCCTTCTTTTGGGAGTCCTGTTGTTTGATACACTATTCTGTTGGGTCTTCCATGGTCTGATAGACTATTTCCTCCCCCAGTATGGGGAAGTTTTCAGCAATTATTTCTTCAAAGATACTTTCTATCCCTTTTTCTCTCTTCTTCTTCTTCTAGTACCCCTATAATGTGGATATTGTTCTGTTTGGATTGGTCACACAGTTCTCTTCATATTCCTTCATTCCTGGAGATCCTTTTATCTCTCTCTGCCTCAGCTTCTCTGTGTTCCTGTTCTCTGACTTTTATTCCTTTAATGGCCTCTTGTATCTCATCCAGTCTGCTCTTAAGTCCTTCCAGAGTTTGTTTTATTTCTGTATTCTCCCTCCCAACTTTATCTGTTAGCTCTTGCATATTTCTCTGCAGCTCCATTAGCATGGTTATGACCTTTATTTTGAATTCTTTTTCAGGAAGATTGGTTAAATCTATCTCCCCAGACTCCTTCTGAGGGATTGTCTGGGTTATTCTTGTCTGGATGAAATTCTTCTGAGTTTTCATGGCAATATAGGTAGTCGTGGGCAGTTTTTGCTTGTGTCATCTGGGAGAACAACATCCCTTTCTGCTTCTTGCCCTTCTCTGCTGCCTGTGCCAGTTACCCATACACGGGGAGCAGCTTCCAGTTTTATTTCTGCAGCCACCATGAGCAGGGCAGCCCAGATCCCTGTGGGGAGGGGAAGGTGCACCAGGTGTGCTCTCCTCCAAGAATGGCAACCCTTCATGCCTTGTCTGGGCTTCCTCTGTGCTGGGCAGCTGCATGTCGGCAGGGCCTCTGAGTCTGGCCTGGGAAGCTACAGAGGAGGCTCTGGGTGGTTGCTGTGGGCACGGCTGCTCTCAGGCTGCTCCCCTGCTGTGGCAGGGCTGTGCCAGGGGGGGAATGGATGGGTGGCTGTTAATCACAGGGAGGGGCCTCAGAGCTGAGCTGCCTCCCAGAGGGTTAGGACACCTGGAGTTGCCCGGGATTCCCAGCTGCTGGGCTGAGTGTGCCGGGATGCTTCCATCCAGCCATGAGGCCCCTGTCGCTTTAATACTTTCAAGAAGCACTTGCTTTTCTTTTGTCCCAGGGGCACTGGCTGCGGGGACCCGTTCACAGGTTTTACTGTTCCCTTTCCCTAATATCCAGCACATCATGCACTGTGTGTCTGCACTCCTAGTGCATATTACTACAGCAGGTTGTTTAGCAGCCTTGGGCTTCCATTCCCTCCCTGCTCTGACTCCTTTCTTCCTGCTGGGGACCTGAGGTGGGGGTGGGGCGCTTGGGTCCCCCCGGGCCACGGCTTGTATCTTACCCCCTTCATGAGGTGCTGAGTTCTCACAGATGTAGATGTAGCCTGGCTGTTGTACTGTATCTTCTGGTCTCTCTTTTAGGAACAGTTGTATTTGTTGTGTTTTCAAATATATATATGGTTTTGTGAGGAGATTTCCTCTGCCCTACTCATGCCACTGTCTTGGCTCCCCCCCCCCACTAGTAGCATTTTTATTAAAATATCAAGGTATCATATTTTCACTGAACTGTCAGGAGTCATTGTTGCTATGAAATCCTTTTGGTTGACAGCATAGGTTATTGTACAGTGGAAAAGATTCTTGAGGCTTAACACCTGTATTAGTCTGGGGTTTGTAGAGGAACAGACCCTATAGGATGTTTTTATCTGGATATATACTTTGAGGAATTAACTGATGAGATTGTGGATGCTTGGTAAATAAAAAATCTGATGGGGTGGACTGGCAGGCTGGAGACTAAAGAAAGAGGTACAGTTGGAGTCTGAAGGCCGTCTGCTGGTGAGCCGTGAAAGGATGTTGTAGGTGAAGTCCAAGGTCAGTGTCCTGACTGAATTCTCTCTGGCTCAGGGGAGATGAGCCCTTTGTTCTCTTTAGGCCTTCAGCTGATTAGATGAAGCCTATCTGCTTTACTCAGGCCACAGATTTCAATGTAAAATCTCATCCAAAAACTCTCTCATAGACACAAACAGGATAATGTTTGATAATACCTGGGTACTGTGGCTTCACCAAGCTGGCACATAAAATTCACTATCACAATATTCATTTGCCTACATTTCCTTCTCAGCTTTCAGATATTATTGGCAATATACTCAAACTAGTGGAACAAATGTCCCAGAGAAAAATCTACAGGTCCCATCTAGAGAAACACTCACTAAAATGAAATGGTTGAGTAGCTTTCAACTTTTTGTGTGGCTAGAATTGAATTGTGGAGTTTTGTTACTTACCTTCTGACAAACCCACCTTGGTCACTTCCTGGGCTCCATGGAAGTAAAAAATTAAAAAAAAAATGGAGAGTGCATGAATGAATGTGGGTATGTATGCATGTGTGTGTATTGGTGCATCTGTGAGGAGTATTTATTGTGACAAATATTTGAAGCTAATTACCATGTATTACATCAGTCCTACTCATTTCTTAGAATGTTAGGAAATAGTGTAGTTGCTGGGTATTTTAGTCCCAGTTTTCTTGGCCAGGATGGCTACCATAGTGACTCAGTGATGCTGTGGGATTATGTAGAGACTGAAAACTGCATGGGGACAGGCAAGAACATTCTTGAGTCTGTCCTCTGCATTTCCTGTGCTTTCCCTTCCTCTCACATTCCTCTCTATTCAGTGTGCTGTATCCCCTGACACTCGCCTCTAGTGGTACAGCAGAGAAGATGTGGACTCTGAGCCCCAGAAATAGGAGCCGATAGAGAAGACCCAAGTGTGATGTCAAGTCTCCTAGACAGGTTCCTGGAGCAGGAGTGAAGACAAAGCATCCCATCATTGCAACAGTTTAGCTAAGTCAGTACAGGTAAGCAACTCACCCTGAACTTCACCCACACATGATATAAACCGAAAGCTAATCTAAACCAAGCACTAACCTTGAACCACAATGCTGACTGTAACCATATCCTCATGGTACTCCATACACTAGCCATAATCCTAAACCTAACCCAACATGTACCACTACACCAAGCCCTCAACATTCCCTACATGGAACCAGAAAGCTAATCCTAAATAGTACCCTAACACTCTGCCTGAATCCTAAACCTCTCTCTAACCCAAAACTGAAATTCAAGCTAAGCCTTACCGTACACCTAACCTTTACCGTAACCCTAACCCTAAGCCAACCTCAAAACTCTCCTCAACACCCACACCAAAGCATCTGCGTAATCCTAAAACTAAACCTAACCCTCACCCTACAGCTGAAACCTAACTGTAACCATACCCACACACGCATCCAAAATGTAGCCATCAACATAACCCTCACCCTAAGTGTAGTCACTAAGCCTAAGCACTCACCCTCCCCATCAACCAAACCTAACATGACCCTAAACCTCATGCCAACCCAAAGGCTACCTTTGAACCCTGATCCTTAATCTGACTGTATGCATATCCTCACCCTGCACCTAATCCTAGGCCTAGCACTAATCCTAACACTATTCCTATGCCCTATCCATCACTCTCAACATCACTCACATGGAATCAGAAACATAAATAGAACACTTATCCTCACTCTAAAACCTATACTTAACTCTAACACGCTAAATTCATCTGAAGCCTATCCCAACACCTCACCCTAACACTGACCATTTTCCTACCTCTACTTCCCCATTCACACCCTCTCCTTCACCCACAGCAAACTGGAACTCTGAAATTAAACCTAACACAAACACTGAGAAGAAAGCCAAACTCAAACTATAACCATAACCGTACCCTCATCCTACACTTATCCTTAGCTCTAACCCTTAACCCTAATCATAGCCACATACCCTAGCACCTCCCCCTCACCTTCAACCACACCTGATGTAATCCTAAGCATAACCTAACCCAAAAACTAACTGCGAACCACCATCCTAAGTCAAATCCTAACCATATCCTCACCGTACAACTATAGCTGCACCTAACCATAACACAAACCCTGTGCCTATCCCATAACCCACACCCACAACCTCACACACATGCACGCATAATCACAAACCTTAGTTGAAGCCTGTCACCCTAAACCTGATACTTAGCCCACACCACAACCCTAAATTCACCTAAGCAAAACCCAACACCTAACCCCAAGCCTAACCCTGTACCTACCCCTTCCTCTAAACCCCCATCAACACCCTCACCTTCACCCACACCAAACCATAACACTAATCCTAAATCAAAGCCTAATCCTAAGAATAAAGTCTGTAACTAACTCTAACCATACATATATCATCACTGTACAGTTCATCTTAACCCTGACCTTAATCCTAAGCCTAATCACTAATCCTAACACCTCATCCTCAAATTCACTCATACAGCACATAAGCCTAAGGCAAACACTAACACTGAATGCTAACCCTAACTCTAACTGTAACTATATCCTCAAAGTGCTACTTACACTAGACTGACACTAAGCCTAAACTGACACCTACCCCTACCCCTATCCATCAACCTCACTTACACGGAATGTAAGCCTAAATCTAAATCTGACCCGAACTGTAAACCTAACTCCATCCCCAAACTGAACATTAATCTAAGGTTTACCCTTTACCTAACCCTATCCCTAACTCCTCAACTACCCCAAAACTCTCCTCAACATCTTCAGCTTCCCCCACACCAAAGCATCAGCGTAATCATAAAACTTAACATAATCCTAACTCTAATGTTGAAACCTAACTCTAATCATACCCACACCCACATCCAAAATGTAACCATGAACCTAACCCTAAGTATAACCCTAGTCACTAATCCTAAGCACTCACCCTCCCCTTCAACCAAACCTAATGTAACCCTAAATGTGATGCTGACCCAAGGCTGCTACTTAGGAAATATTTCCATTTAATAGCTTAGAGAGCTATCAGATTAATCCAGGACATGATTCATTTTTATTCTTTCTTCATTCTCCTCTAGAGGTAATCATTAGCCAATATGGGAAGACAAATCTTTCTGTGCATATTTTGATCTCTTTATTCCAGATCACAGCTTCACTCAGCAAAATACACGATTGTTTGCATGTTTTCAGCACACTCCCCCCCACACACATACAAACACACACAAACACACAGACACACAGAGAAGGTGTCCTCAGGCCTCCAACTGGCTAATTTAACACTGTGTGCACACATACATTCAAAGGTAGAGATACCTAGTTTATTGTATGTAATATGTGTATATACAGATTGTGCACATGTACACACTGACACAAACCCAAATCTAATCCTTACCCTCAACTGAGAATTGTGAGCAGTCATATAACCCACGTGTCATGAGCATCCCTTCTATGTGCATGTGTAGAGAATCGAATGGGAAGAGGTACCCAAATAATAGATGTTGGTTACAGGGATGGTAGTATAGCATGGAGAATTTAGTCAATTGTTCTGTAACAGCTTTCTACGTTGATACATAGTAACTGCACCAGAGGGGGTGAAGTTTTCATAGCATGGGTAACTGTTGAACCCATGTTGTACATTGGAAGCCAACATAAGATAGTCTATCAACCCATATTCAATAAGAAGAAAAACCATAAGGATCTGAACTTACATATATTTATAAGAAACCTCTAGCCTTTCTTGAGCTGCTACTTCTCAAATTGAACATGCGAATTTAGAACACCACTGTCTCCACCCTTAAGTTCCTTGTTGGCGTCCAGGGGAAGCCTGTCACTGAACTGATACGTGGTGTTTGGCCTTAATGGCCGCTAGCTGGTGAATAGATAGCTGGGTGGCTGGAGGGATGCAGGAGGTGTGGAACGTGTGCTGGGAGTTGAGAGATTTTGCCACTCCAGGGCAGAGCTCTTCCTGCAGGTGAGTGAAGCCATGGTGTCGGATGGCTGAGGGCACACAGCTTCGCAGCGCTCTGAGAGGGATGCGGCCAAGTGGGAAGCACTTCTGGTGTGGAGGGCCAGCGGGAGCATCCAGGTTGCCACAGCTCCCTACGTCACTGTGGTGGGTGTGACGACCATTTCCTAGAGATGACACTGCCTGGCGGGGAGAGCAGGTCCCGCCCTCAGGGGTTGGGGACTGAGCTGACGGTGTGGGGCTCTGCATTGGGGGCTGATCGCCCTCCCTGAAGGGAGAGACAAGGGGACCCAGATCCAGGGCGTCTGTGTGTACTTTGGGCCTCGCTGCCCTGGCTGGCTCGGCGGCAAAGCAATGGGTCCCGCCCGGCCCCAGGGAGTGTGGGTCCTTCTCTGAGGCTGTGCAGGAGCCACGTTGCTACTAAAGGCAGGGGTGCAGGAGCTAAGACAACTTATGCCTCTCTGAGCCCAGCTTCCGCCTTGGCGAAATGGGGACGAGAATGCTTCACCTGCAGCATCGCTGGGAACCAGTGAGCAGCCCACAGCCCTGTGCTCACAGCGGGATCATGAATGCCTGCATGACGTCAGGCCACTTGGTTTTGCTTTTGAAGGCTTTAAATAGGGGTAGTCAAGGAAAGCAGAAGAGAAAGACCCTGGGGAGAAGGTCATTGTAACATGTAGTGGTAATCAGTACCAAGTGGTATTAGTGTCATGGTCACTAGCCCAGTGCCTAGCATGGTGGAGGCACAGAGTTACTCCAGGAAAGCATGGTCGTAGCTAGATCTGTCTCTCCTTGTGCAGCTCTACATGCCAGTGGCTGAGCTCATAAAGTGTCTGAAGAAGTGGATTCTGAGGATCTGTGTCCTGGTGGCAGCTGAAGCTCCTCCTCCAGATTCAAGGGCAGCAGTCTTCAGGAGACACCAGGAGGTCATGTCTTTGGTGGGATGTGATGCCTGACTCAAGTGAGTTCATAGATCTGAGAAAAGCATGTTGTGGAATAGCTCCTGTGAGGTTCACAAACTAGCCTGAAAGTCAATAATCTTCTTTGATTTCATCAGAAGAGATTTAGCAGTTTCAATGTCATTCTGTCAGCAGCTACATTCTTTCTGTAGCCCTTGAGGCCCATTTTAGAGATGCTTTCTTTGTCTGGAATCAATAAATTGTCTATCCTGAGTAAGGATCTTCATGTTTAACATATGTGTGCATAAATTTACATATGTTTTACTGATTATAAATAATAATCAGCAATTTCCATATATCTCTCAGATTGGTGTTGAAATATGCTGTTGTTTTGAAGGTATTTCTAGCAATTTGAAATTTTAATATGGATTCATCCATGGTCACAATGTTTTTATTCATTGTGTAGTGAAGTTTTCCAGAAGTCAGGAATTTTCCAGGTGTTAGTTAAAATGTCAGCAACAACAATTTTTGTGTTTTCAAAAGTATCGATTGCCATAAAAATTTTCCTGTTACAATGATACCCAGCCATGTCCTCTAAAATAACCACGTAGGTTTAAATGTCATTATTATTGTTTTTTCAGGATATAACATTTTCAGTTATGTACTATGTGGCCTTACCTGCTCCTCCTATTGCCCTGTCCCCAGGAAAAAACTGTCACTATGGATTATTTCTCATGTCCTAGATATTTATTTAAATGCAATCTTAGAGGTTTTATTCCTTTTTTTTTTGGTCTGGCTTTGTTTATTTATGACACTTATTTTTAGATTTGCCCATTTTGTTACATATATCAGTAGTTCATGCTTTTATTGCTAAGTAGTGTCCTTGTATTTGGATATCCCACAATTATTTTACCCATTTACTTGTTGATGGTTGAGTTTTTCCCAATTTGGGACACTTAAATAAAGCTGCTGTAAACAATTTTTTAATTGTCTGTGCATAGACAAAGACTTTCTTCCTCAAGGATAAATACTAGGATTGCAATAGCTGGTTCATGTGATAGCTGTGAGATTAACTCTCAAATATCAGATTTTCAAAAGTGGTAGCACAGTTTTTCATTTCCACCAGCAGTTTATGAGAATTCCATCCCTCACAGCTTTGCTAAGACTTGTAGTGTTCACTCTTTTTAGTTTTAGCCATTCTCACTGGGGTGTGGTAGTATCTCATTGTAGTTTTCATCTATATTTCCCTAATGACTAATGATGTTGAGCATCTTTTCATATATTTATTTGACATTTGAATATCTTTTTTGTGGAGTGCCTATTCAAAACTTTTGCCCATTTATTTATTAGGGTGTTTGTTCCCTTCTTTATGACTTTGGTGAGATTTTCTATATTCTGCTTACAAATCCTTTATAATATGTGGTATTTTCAAACATTCTTTCTCAGTTTGGCTATCTTTTCATTCTCTCAACAGTGTCTTTTGAAGAACAGAAGTTTCTAATTTAGACAAAGTCCAATTTATCAATTTGTTCACACATGGATTGTGGTTTTGGTGTCTCTTCTAAGAAATCTTTACCTTGAATCCAGTGTCACAGGGGCTTTCTCCAGTGTTTTTGGTAGAATTTTATGGTTTTGACTTTTATGGTTAGCTTTATGATGCATTTTGAGTTGAATTTTGTGTATGGCACTATAAATGAATCATGGCTTATATTTATGCATATGGATTTCTTCAAGCACCATTTACTGAAAAGACTATCCTTTTTCCACTGAATTGCCTTTTAGCCTTGTTGAAAATGAGTTGTACCTATATGTGTGGGTGTATGTATGGACTCTTCTATTTTGTTTCTTTGATACACATTTCTACCTTGACTCCAATACCATACTGTTTTGATTATTATATATTTATAATTACTCTTCAAATTGGATAGTAATTATCTTCCAACCCTGTTCTTTTCAAAGTTGTCTTTCACAGTCTAGGTCTTTTCCCTTTCCACATGGAATTTGTAATCATCTTGTCAATTTCTTTTTTTTTAATGACTGCTAAGGTTTTTATTAGAATTTCATTGAATCTATAGATCAGTTTGAGGAGAACAGATATCTGAACAACACTGAGTCTTCCAAACCGTGAAAACAATGTGCCCCTCTATTTATTTAGGCCTTCTTTAATTTCTCTGAGCAATATGTTATAGTGTTCAATGTACAGTCATTGCACATTCATGGACAGATTATTCCCAACTATCTCATATATCTTGTTGCTATTGTAAATGGCAGGATTTTAAATTAAATTTTCTATATATTTTTCACTGAACTGTGAGCAGCCAAATGTTCAAGAGGAATCTTTTTGGTTGAAAGTGCAGGCTCTCTAGGAGGAAAATGTACTTGATACATAATATTCACTTGTCTATATTTTCTGGTCAACTTTTATCTGTTATTGGCAATCTACTGAAACTAGGGAGAAAAATGCCTCAGAGACAATTCTACAGGTCATCTCCAGAAAAATCCATCACTAAAATAGTTTAGTAGCTTTGAAATTTATGTGTGTAGTCAAAAATGAATTGGAATTTCTTCTTTACACTCTAGTGAATCCACTTGAATGAATTCCTGGGATCTTAGGTAATGAGAGAGAGTGGGGAGTTGGGGAGAAGGAGAAGGGAGAGAAGGGCATGGAGAGAGAGAGAGAGAGCATATATGTATGTGGGAATGTATGTATGTATGCATTTATGTGTATATTGCTGAAGCTGCCAGGAATCTTTATTGTGAAGAATACCTGAGGTTAATTACTGTGTGTTATGTCAGTCCTGCTCAATTCATAGCACATGTTAGAACCTAATCAGGGTAGATATTATCTATTCTTCCTCAGGTTTACTTGGCAAACATGGTTACTATAGTGACTGTAGCTGCAGTGGGATTTGATAGTATCAATATCCATTTTGATTCTTCCCTGAGTCACTTGTTACTATGGTTTCTGTCATTTTTTCCCAATTCTGTCATTCCTTCTTGGATTATTAGTTGGTATTTGAGTGTAGGGTTCAGCTTTCCATTTTCTTCTATCATTAATTAACTAATTAATTAATGTTTTCCACTTATGTAAGTATACCTCATAGATTATTATTTTTGCTCAAAAGGTTTTCTATTATTATGTATTTTGATGGTTAAATTGTCCCGTACTTAGCCAGTGTTAGCTCTTCCACTTGGCCTCTGTTTCCATTTGTCATCTTCCTATACATCTTTGAGTATGTATGTTCTTCTCTGAGCCTGTCTTCTAGCTGTTCAAAGGGTGTAATAATGCCCACCTCAGAGCATTGCTTTGAGTGTTTGAAGATAAAAAATAACAACCTACATTTGCATCTAACAAAAGTAGGGCATCTAAAGGCCCTCAGCAATGCTAGCTCCCCATTCCAACTTTGCCCCTTCATGCGGTCAATGTGATGCCTCTGGCATTAACATCACAGGCTGACTACCAGAGATAATATGTGGCTGTGTAATAGAAGCAGGGATGATCCCACATGTCCATGATGTGAGCTTCAGGGTCACTGCTGTGTGAGGAGGGGGCTGCGTGATGGCACTGGGGAAAAGGCCCCATGTCCCTGCAAAACTGTGGGGACAGGCAAGGACATCCTCATCCCGTCCCCTGCATTCCTGTGCTTCCTCTTCCTCCCATGAGCCTCTCTGTTCCACAAGCTGTCTCATCCTCTGACTCTCCCTTCTAGCAGGGCAGCAGAGGAGCTGTGGACTCTGAGCCCCAGAAACAGGAGCTGATAGAGAAGAATCAAGTGATGTTGAGTCTGCTGGACAGATTCCTGGAGCAGGAGTTAAGAGATATAGTCCCATCTTTGGGAAAGTTATATAAGTCACTACATTTTCCTTCAGCATCTGTATACAGTAGGAGAGCAATACCAATGTTCCCAACCTCCCAGAAATATTGTGGACTTTCAGTGTGATCCCATGTGGGAAAGTGATCTGTGGTCATAGGTGGGAGGGAAGGACCAATGCCCTTTCCAGTAATTACATGACCAGAGACACCCCAGGTACCATAGAACTCTGCATCGTAGGTATCAAATTAATGCTACATAAATGTCAGCTGTTTAGGCCATGATTTTTCCAGGTGCAGCCCATGGGCCACCTCATTATAATCACCAAGGAGTGCTTTTTGGAACTGCAGATTGCTGTGCTCACTCTTGTTTTGCTATACCCAAAACAGAGAGATGGGGTAGGAAGTATCTCTGTTTTGAATCATTTAGTTCAGAGTTGGTTCTGGCTCATCACAGTTTGAAAAACACTGCTGTGGATTTGCTGTAAGGTGTTCTCATAATTTTGAATCCTTTGATGTCTGCTTTTCTTTGTATCTGCTCCTGTGTGTCAAACAGTTCACAATTCTTTCATTTAGGTAATACTTCTATGGTGACTTACATGTGAGGCACTGAACTAGGTACTGGGAACCCAGCACAGAGAATAAGACAGGTAGGGCCCCTGGAGTTTTCATTCTAGTTTGGGAAAACCGGCAGTAAGCAGGTAAGTCATAAGCAGGGTAATTCACCTGGGGTGCTGTGGATAAAGTGAAGGTTCCTGTGGCCAGGATTCTCACCTGTCCCTGGTCAGCTAGTTCACTACACAGGTGTGGGCAATAGGTCGTTATTGACTCTATATAAAGAGCTCCATCGAGCACTCTGGGTGACACAGTGGCAGCCTGCAAGGCTGCAGGAGAGCAGAGGCGAGACTGGAGTGGTGGCAGCGCCAAGGACAGAGACTGAGATGGTTGCGGGGGCAGAGGTGAAGGAGGATTACAGACCTGCAGACTGTTGGATGCAGATGTAATTCTAGTGCTCGACCTATCTCTGGGAGAAGAAGCTGGGTGATAAAAACCCTTTCACCCCAGAAATGTTCCATTGTCACTCCTTGTTGGCACTGAATCCATAGTGAACTTGCCCGGGGCTGAAACTCATTGGCAAGACAGATGCTTTGGGAAAAAGACACATAAATAAAATAGCAAATGACAGGGACAGGATTATTATAGACGGGGTTGTCAGTGAAGTTCTTTTTAGGAAGTGACATTTGAGCTGAG